AGACTGTGGAAACTTCACACTGGACTTCAAGCATCTTGCAGTGTGTGCCTCTCCATTCTTCCTCCATACTCTGGGTCCTTGGTTTCCAAATGAGATGCAAAATTTGCTCTCATCAGAAAAGAGGACTTTGGACCACTGAGCAACAGACCAGGTCTGTTTTTCTTTAGCCCAGGTAAGGCGCTTCTGACGTTGTTTGTTGTTCAGGAGTGGCTTGACAAGAGGAATACGACAGTTGAAGCCCATGTCCAGGATCCGTCTGTGTATGGTGGCTCTTGATGCACTGACTCCAGCCTCAGTCACTCCTTGTGAAAGTCCCCAACACTTTTGAATGGCCTTTTCCTGACAATCCTCTCCAAGCTGCGGTCATACCTGCTGCTTGTGCACCTTTATCTTCCACTCCTTTCCCTTCCACATAACTTTCTATTAATGTGCTTTGATACAGCACTTTGGGAAAATTCAACTTCTTTTGCAATTACCTTTTGAGGCTTTCCCTCCTTATGGAGGGTGTCAATAATGGTTTTCTGCACAACTGTCAGGTCAGCAGTCAGAGTGGGACACTTTGAGCCTAGAATATTGCACCTTTTCACAATATTCTAATTTTCTGAGATTGTGGATTTGGGGTTTTCATGAGCTGTAAGCCATAATCATCACAATTATGACAAATCACGGCTTGAACTATCTTGCTTTGCATGTAATGAGTCTATCTCGTATATTAGTTTCACCTTTTAAGTTGCATTAGTGAAATAAATTAACTTTTGCATGATATTCTGATTATTTGAGTTTCACCTGTATATACTTGACCTCGTAGAATCATTATCCTTTTTGTATCTTTGCTCTTTGCCGTTGTTCTGCACCTCTTGTTCACTATTTACTATTTTTTATTACAATGAATATTTGTTTAATTTTGTAAAACTAAAATTCTCTAATAAAACTCTTTGAAACTACAAAAAATTGGAGATTTCCCCTCACTTCCTGTCTTGTAAATTCAACAGGATGTGAAATTATGTCTTTCCAATGTGTGGGAAATCCCCTTGTAGACAGTTGTCGTGGGAACAAATGTCCCCATTGAAAGATTCCCCCTCTATTCCTGTTTTGGGGACAACTCCAAATTTTGCATTTACCTTACTTTTAGTCCTGGCGACATTGGTGATCAGGGCAAATGAAAGAGTGAAACTCCCTAACGGGGGGGACATGTTGAGAACAATAAATTCCTAAATACTGGCGATCTTCTAAAATCCCCCCTATTAAGGATTGGTTTGCACGAATCGACAAAACATGTTTTTCGGAGGAATTTACATACACTGATAGGGAAAACTATGATGAATTTCTTAAGATATGGGCTTGATGGTTTGATTTCAAACAACCTGATATACTGTATACGTAACTTCCATATTACCAAGTTAAGAAACTTTAAATATACCTTATATATATTTGTTTTTGTTAATATTATTTTGAGAAGGCCTCAGTGATTGATATACACAGCTTAATGGTGCAGGATAACGAGAGAGATCTTTAGGTAGATTTAAAAAATATTTTTATAGATTTTTATAGATTTAAAATGATTTTTTTTATTTCTCCCCTCGTTTGTTTTGTTTTTATGATGTTTATCTATATGGCATTGCTAGATTTCAGTGTAATGTTGTTTTCCTTATGTCTCTTTCCATGTTTTCTGTTATTGTATTTAATATGGAAACATTTTATAAAGCGATAATAAAAAATAAAATAAAAATAAAGACCTGACAGGGGGGTCTAACCTCTCACCACTCTATCCAAATCTAAAAAAAATGTTTTGTCTTCAGTTATAATTTAAGGCAAATGACAATGTGCAAAGCCAAGCAACACTATCAAGGCTATTCACAAAAGGGAGAAGAGTTTGGAGAAGGCAGGAGAAGTGAACAATCTAGGACAACATAGCTGAACTGGAAAGTGAGCTGAATTGGAGAATGTTTCCAGTTCAGCTATTTTGGCCTAGATTGTTCACTTCTCCAAACTCTTCACCCTTTTGTGAATAACCCCCTATGTAATCACTCAGAAGTTGACTTTCATGCTTATAACATTACTGTCATAGTTCCTTTTCAGGCGACTCTCTGCAATACTCTAAATGCGATCAGATTTAAAATAATCGGGCATGATATTGACTACCAATGCTTACAAATTGGTGCAAACCATCATCTAAGATTTTGTATCAATGAATGCAGACCATACACACACTGATTTTTATTCCAATCAGTCATTCAATCTAATAATTGAGTGAGCAGAATGTGTACAGTGATCACAAATGCTAGATTCACCTTCATCGATGTGTTCACTGTCAGTGATAGATGGAAAAAGTAAGCAGAGCTAAGTAACATCATCAGTGTACACTGACTCCCCCTTACAACACATGATCAGACTGCAAACAATCAGTTATTTCCAACCCACCCAATCACTTTCGACTTCAATCTGGAGCATTTGGTCTAAACCTGTCATATGGTAGTGAAGAGGGATGGAAGATTGATCAGATTTGAATGTAGAAGTGATCAGATTTGAATGTAGAAGTGATCAGATTGAAATGTAGAAGTGATCAGATTGGAATGTAGAAGTGATCAGATTGGAATGTAGAAGTGATCAGATTGGGATGTAGAAGTGATCAGATTGGGATGTAGAAGTGAGAAGATTGGAATGTAGAAGTGATCAGATTGGGATGTGGAAGTGATCAAATTGGGATGTAGAAGTGATCAGATTGGAACGTAGAAGTGATCAGATTGGAACGTAGAAGTGATCAGATTGGGATGTAGAAGTGATCAGAATGGGATGTAGAAGTGATCAGATTGGAATGTAGAAGTGATCAGATTGGGATGTGGAAGTGATCAGATTGGGATGTAGAAGTGATCAGATTGGGACGTACAAGTGATCAGATTGGGATGTAGAAGTGATCAGATTGGGATGTAGAATCGATCAGATTGGGATGTAGAAGTGATCAGATTGGGATGTGGAAGTGATCAGATTGGAATGTAGAAGTGATCAGATTGGGATGTAGAAGTGATCAGATTGGAATGTAGAAGTGATCAGATTGGGATGTAGAAGTGATCAGATTGGGATGTAGAAGTGATCAGATTGGAATGTAGAAGTGATCATTTCACTGAACATTGGATCAATAAGTATATGGGCTGCATGTGTCACTCCAGCCATCACTATAGTCCCACACTAGACCTCCACCAGGAAAATGTGACACAACCTGGACTCCAGATCTGGGGAGGTTTTGCTCTGGTTGTTGATACTTTTTGTTTGTTTTTACAGTTGATCTTCTGCTCTTTGTATACCAACAATGTACTCGGCTGTTTACAAACATCAGATGAGTATTCAGGGGGAATGTCACTCCATGTACCACCATTCCTCTTATCAATATAGATCTATGTTTGTACCAGCACACAGTACACCATAAATGTATAGAGTATACCTGCAGTGTACAGAGTATGCCATCAATGTATAGAGTATACCAGCAATGTACAAAGTACACCAGCAATGTACAGAGTATACCAGCAATGTATAGAGTACACCATCAATGTGTAGAGTACACCAACAGTGTACAGAGTATACCAGCAATGTACAGAGTATACTGGCAATGCACAGAGTATACAAACAATATACAAAGTATACCAGCAAAGTACACAGCATATTAGCAATAAACAGCGTATACCAGCAATGTTTAGAGAACATCCGCAATGTACAGACTACAGAGTGTACCAGCAATGCACAGAGTATATTAGCAATGAACAGCATATACCAGCAATGTTCAGAGTATACCAGCAATGTTCAGAGTATACCAGCAATGCACAGCGTATACCAGCAATGCACAGCGTATACCAACAATGTTCAGAGTATACCAGCAATGCACAGAGTATACCAGCAATGTGCAGAGTATACCAGCAATGAACAGCATTTACCAGCGATGTGCAGCGTATACCAACAATGAACAGCGGCGTATACCAGCAATGTGCAGAGTATACCAGCAATGTACAGAGTATACCAACAATGTGCAGCGTATACCAGCAATGTACAGAGTATACCAGCAATGTACAGAGTATATTAGCAATGAACAGAGTATACCAGCAATGTGCAGCGTATACCAACAATGTGCAGCGTATACCAGCAATGCACAGAGTATACCAGCAATGTACAGAGTATATTAGCAATGAACAGAGTATACCAGCAATGTGCAGCGTATACCAACAATGTGCAGCGTATACCAGCAATGCACAGAGTATACCAGCAATGCACAGAGTATACCAGCAATGTACCGAGTATACCAGCAATGTACAGAGTATACCAGCAATGTGCAGAGTATACCAGCAACGTGCAGAGTATACAAACAGTAATCAAAGCTTTAGTAAACATTGGGAGCTCCAGCCTTTAGCTCTTATAACACCCTCCATGCCATCCTGTCAGAATACTCACTCTGTACACATTCTCTGTCAGTCTGTTCACCTCATCGGACCTGGACATGGTGCTTGTCTGCTGGCTGCTGCTTACATGGACCTTGGATGGCAGACACAGAGATTCCAGCTCTGGGGGATGGAGATGTGGAGACAGAAGGTGTCCCTCTGATGCTGACCGTTCGCTCTGGGTTGGGGGGAGAGGTATCCTGGGAAGGAAACAGGATGGGAGGGAGAAGTCAGCCTCAGACAAAAGTTCTGTGCTCAGGATAAAGAACTTGCAGCCAATCAGACTCTCGCTCTGCTGTCACCCAGTATAGGGAGGATTCCGCATGACAGTATGGGAGGGAGACATGGCTAGACATCTGTGAGACACTAAATGGGGGTCTTTAACCTAAAGCTTTCTCCTCATCCACAGGCTCTTTCATCTTCCCCCTGACACACCAGATCCCCAATGAGAGTGACTTGAAGACACTGTAACCTGCCTCTGAAACCACAAGCTGCACACAGCAGTAATGAATGAAGCTGTGTTCCAGAGGATATGTTCTCATTACTGTCAATGGGCCATTCTAGAAGAGGTTTCCTGTCTCGTGTGACTTATTTAGAAATATACAGACTCATAGATTGTATTGCACAGGCAGTATGTGTGCAGAAGGTGTTCCTAAATCTAGTTTTCTTCAAGGACAAGTAGGCACATTATATGATATATTTGATAAACAGTTCCTCTTGGTCTGCAGGAAACTTTTCACTAATAAACCCTTAATCCCACTTCTGCTATACATCCGCAGACAGCCGTACAGACAACCTTCCTCTGAGGAATATTTAGGGTCCTTACTTTTAGCGCGATGCATAATCTTGCAGTCCAACTGAAATCGCTGCCGCTCAGCCACGTTTAAAATAAGAAGTCAATAATCACTATCACTATAAATGCATACACGCAATAGGTTGGACTTGATGGACTTATGTCTTTATGTAACCTCAAATACTATGTAGCTATGTAACTATGGTTGAGCTGAAAGGCATATGCCACTGTTTGCAAAAAATATAAATGAAGATCTATTGCAAAAAGGAAAACAAATTAAATGTATTCATTTTTTCCATTGGCACCTGCAATGCGTTGCAGTCCTCATTGCCATCAGTGGATGGTGGGTGCAATGCTCAGGCTCCTGCAGACTGTTCCTCCAGCTCCTGTCTGTGCCAAGGTAAAGACATATAGGTATGGAGCTGGAAGAAGTTATGAATGCACTGCAAGGGTGATGATGTCAAAGCACATACCATGGGGTTTTAATTCGCAGATCCTGTGAATAGATCTGCGAATTAATTATGCAGCTGTGCAGGCAAAGCAGTGCATAGCTGCACCAAATTCATAAATACATAAGATGCTGTGCAGCAGAAACCCACAATCCAGGTAAGTGGGGTCAGTTTGAAGGTAGTGGCGAACCTAAGGAATAAAGGGCCCTGGTGCAAGATTTTACATTGGACCCCCCTCCCAAAGGAGCGGATCTCACTGGCCCCCCAACTCCCCGGGCAGTCTCTGCACCATAGAAGCTTACACTCTAATGTCCCTGCACAGTCTCACACTATTATTATACATTTATATAGCTCTGACATATACCACAGTGCTGTACAGAGAACACTGAGCCAGTCACATCAGTCTCTGTACCGAAGAGCTTACACTCTAATGCAGAATGGCACTGGCTGTAGGGGGACTACAAATCCCAGCAATACATTATACAGCAATGCAGAACAGTATATGAATTGGAACTAACGCACTGGACTCTGGACTTAGTAACGCACTGGACTCAGGACGTAGTAACGCATTGGACTCAGGACTTAGTTACAAACTGGACTCAGGCCTTAGTTACACACTGGACTCTGGGCTTAGTAACGCACTGGACTCTGGGCTTAGTAACGCACTGGACTCTGGACTTAGTAACGCACTGGACTCTGGACTTAGTAACGCACTGTTTGTGCGGTTTCAGATTTGGAGGCTTATTGCCTCTGAATCCAAAACAGCATTAAAATGTGTTTCCTTTGACGAAACAAATAAAAATGTTTCTCATTTTCATTTGTTTCGTCTGAACCAAATTTGTTTGCCCTGCACATGTCTATTACAAATCACACTAGACTAGTGTGTCAGACTAGGATAGTGATAGTGATGGCGAAGGTTTTTTTAACCCCGTTCCCCTAAACTGCACTGCAAAATCAATTTATTTATCTTAAAGTGCCAACATTGAAAATAACTAAATAACTTTATTATTGCGTTGCAGTTTGGGCGCTCGGGTTTAAAAAATTTTCAGCATCACTGCTTAGGCAAAATTGGGAAACACACATATTAAAATATTTATACACACATTAAAACACACACATCACACACAAATCACCCGCTCATTAACCACTTGCTGTCATTTCTTACATCTGCACACACATGATAAAATATGAATTTTTGGCTAGAAAAAACCTTCAGACCCCCAAACAATATTTTTCTTCAAAGCAGAGGCCCTGTAGAATAAAAAAGATGCTAGTTGCAATTTTTTTATGTCGCACGGTATTTCCGCAAATTTTAATCAAACAAGTATTTTTTGGATAAAATACACTAAAATAAAATTTAGTGCACAGAACCAGAATATAATACCCAATTGTTTGGTAAAATATAAAAGATGGGGTCACACTGGGTAAATACATACCAAATATGTCAAACCTTAAAATTGTGTGCGTCCGTGAAACCGCTAAAAACTACAATAACCAAAATTGGCCATAGGTGACGCTTTAAATGCTTTTACGGCTCATCAGTTTAGTGTTAACAGTGATTGATGGGCCTAGAATTATTGCTCTCACTCAGACACTTGCGGTGATATGTAACATGTGTGGCGCATTTTTTGTTCTTGCATGTAGGTGCATCCGATGCGTGTTTGCGTTGTATGTGCATGGAAGTGAGGGGCGGGGGACCTTAAAAAAATAATTTGCATTTTTTTTTTATGTTACTTTAATTTTTAATTTTTTTTTTACACTCAGCTTTATTGCTATCACATAGGGGGATAACAAGCCCCCTAAATAATAGCAAATATAATGTGACAGGTTCTCTTTATGGAGACATCCGGGGTCTTTCAAAAGCTGATAAAGCACAGATCTGCTTCATCAGGTTCTTCTGGCTCTAGGAGCCAGAGAATGTGCTCAGTGACACCGGAAGTGATGTGATGCTGGAAGCCGCGGATCTCTCCTCCGATCTGTCAGGGGAGACCCTCCACGCCAGTCCCGGGCTCACACAAGGGACAGATAAGCCGGGGAAGCCGACAGCAGCAACGGCAGCCGCGGAGGGGGGAGGGGGACATGGTGCCACACCGTACAAGCGTTCCGGCGCCTGTACAGACACCAGATTAGTTGTATTTAAACAGCAATCGCCGGCTGTTTAAAACGGTACCAAGAACACGGCTGCAGGAGCAGTATAACCACTTCCAGCGGATGACGTACAGTTACGTGAACCCGCTGGAAGTGGTTAAAAAAAAACACACACACACGTAATGAAATACACACATCACACACATAACACACACTTACTAAAAATCACACACAATAAAAAATGTCCCCCTCTCCTGCTTATCTGTTTTGTAGGAAGGGGGGCTGCATTCTTGGGGTCCAGTGGGGCACTTGGGGATTATCCCGTGGTGGTCCAGTGGAGAATCAGTGTGATCTGCTTCTCTGGCTGATGCAGACCATACTAATCGCTTCTTGCCAGTCAGCGGCGGCACCACGAGGGATCGATCAGTATGGTCTGCATCAGCAAGAGATGCAGATCATACTGATTCCCCACTGGACCACCAAGGCATGTTTTTCATTTAATATATTAATATATTCGGCAATATATTAAACATCTATAATAAAACAATTTACTTACATAAGAAGCTATTCAGTCGTCTGCTGTGCCGTCCACTGCTTGCTTCTGCGGATTCTTTCCCCTCCTTTCTGTCTCTCCTCAATGCACAGGCTCTGTAAGCTCCTCATCCCTACCCAGAGGTCTGGCAAGGCAGGGACAGTGTGATCCAATGCGCATGCATGACTAGATTAAAGATGGCTGCCAGTCAATATGATTTTTTTTTTTAAATGTGACTATGTATGGGAGGCATACCACATATTGCAGCTCAGCAGAAGGGCCCGTCAAGGCATACCGGAGGCCACGACCGGCATTCACCTCCGAGACACTGTGGCTGCCATCCTCAACACCCTCCTGGGTAAGCCTCATGATGCAGCCTTGGAGCTCGACCGGGTTCATAGAGTTAACAGTTCTCGCCCCCCCACGCCATCAGCACCCAGGGATGTCCTGTGGAGGGTGCACTTTTTCGCTGTGAAAGAGGAAATCATCAGGCAGGCATGGAGGCATGGCCCCTCTGACTTTGATGGTGCTACCATCCGCATCATGCCGGACCTCTCCCGTCATACTCTTCGCATGCGACGCCTAGTCCGCCCCTTGCTGGACTTAATCCGCTCTGCCACTGCCACTTATCGTTGGGGACACCCTTTCCATCTGATTGTCCGGCGAGACGACGCTACCTTTCAACTGCACTCACCTGACCAGCTCCCAGCCCTGTTTCGCTTCCTGGACGTGGACTCGGTAGATGTCCCTAACTGGCTAGAGTTTCCTGACGAGCCTTTGGAGCCGGCCCCTCCTCCCCCGCGCACGCCCCGCCGGGCCCGAAGCCAGCACCGAACAACTCGGAGGGACCCTCCTGTGCAAACCCCGGCGGGCCGAGAACTGTGAACCTCCCGAGGTATTCTTTAATATTCATGAGGACTGGCCCCGCATCACCCCTGCACTCCCCCACTGATGGGCCTTTGCCATCTCATCTCATTTCCGCTGTGGACCAGGCCCCTTCCATTATGGCTGCTATGAGCTCGATCAGGCTCACTACCTTCAATGTCAAAGGCCTGAATGTCGCTGAGAAGAGGTCTCGGCTCCTGGGGGATCTGAAGAAAGCGGGCATGCAAGTGGCCTTTCTTCAGGAGACCCACTTTAAAGCAGACAAAATACCCCACTTTTATAATAAGGCCTTCCCGACCTCCTATCACTGCCCGTCCCCCATCGCCAGGTCCAAAAGGGTGAGCATTCTACTGTCAAGATCGCTGGCATAGACGTTCAGGGACCTTAGGATTGACCCGGAGG